TGTGATTCTATCACAGAGCTCTTATTTCAGGGAGGCAATATACACCTTAGCATCCTAACTTTCTAACCCCTCCACTAACTTCAAATCAAGTCTCTGAAACAGAAACTCTTTAGTCTCTTCATAGTGGTTAAAATGGCACTAACTGGCTGAATTTCAAGCTCTAGATGGACCATAAGAAGTTAAACTAGAGATAGGGAAAGAGTTTCTCTAAACACTGGTGTGACAGATGGTCATACAGTCAAAGACTCTCATCAGGGTTGATTTTATTATTAAGCGGTGCCATTGTTCAAACAATGATGATGGTAGAGAAAGGAAGAGAAGGAATAAATTTCCTTTACACACCAAACAGCTGAGACTAAACAGCAAACTGCATCACCTCTTATTATTCTGAGTTACCCCTATAATGCTCGACTAAGTATACAAGGCAAATAAGATATACAGAACTCCCACAAGGGACCTGAGCCCTGCTCAAAGTTTAAGGACAAGCACAAGATGATGGCTGCTGTAAGCTGATATTCATTCATAATTGCCTCCCCTCAATCCAAACATGGAATTACTCCAAAGGGAAAAGACATTCAGCATCTCTTAGAGCTTATGGTTTGCTTTACCCTCTGCATTTCACTTAGCAGTATAATAAAAGACTGGCTCTGGCTTAGTGGTGCAACAATCTAGACGGGAGTTTCATATTGGAAGAGAACAACTCTTCTAATCTCTCCTGCCCAATTCAAACACCAGAAGATTTTGAGCCCCCAAACGTTAGGAGTGATTTATCTAAAATAATGTCTGTTCCTGAACTGTGAACTGTTACATTCTTTTTTTTTTTTGAGTTGGAGTCTCACTCTGTTGCCCAGACTGGAGTGCAGCGGCCACTCCCAGTCACCGCAGCCTCGACTTGCTGGGCTCCGGTGATCCTTCCGCCTCAGTCTTCTGAGTAGCTGGAATTACAGGCGTACGCTACCACGCCCGGCTAATTTTTTGATTTATTGTAGAGATGGGTCTCGCCAAGTTGCCCAGGCGGGTCGCGAAGTAACATTCTTATTTTATATGTATTTTCAACACTGGCAGAGAATCTTATATCTTTAGGATTTCGGGATTTTATCAAAACTTATGTGAAGTTCAACTAAACATCAAAGAACAGTAAGTTGGTTTTAGGAAGGTTGAAACACACACCTAGGCCTTCTAGCCTTAAACAATTTAGAAATCATAAACCATCACTTATTCCTGCCACTTATTTCTACTTCCCCTGGTACTATCCAAACAGAGAGGCACTCTCCTGCAATCACAAATAGAATATCATATCCCCTTCAAAATCATATCCTTGAAAAGAAAAATTCTATTAAGTTCACTAAGCCCAAACCTAAGCAAACACAGTCAACACTGCATATATATCTACACACAAAAGTCAACACTGCATATATATCTACACACAATAATCCCACGTTTCCTAGTATATTTATGAACAGAATTTTTCTTAATCCAACTATTTCAATATTTGCCAATGAAATAGAGGAGGGTGTGAGACACAAAAGTTTAAAAAAAAAAGGGAATCAATCAGGCTCGGTGGCTCAGCTTGTAATCTGGTGCCTTGGGAGGCTGAGGTGAGTGGATTGCCCAAGCCTGCGGGTTCAAGACCCACCTGGGCAACTTGGCAAGATCTCATCTCTACAATAAATCAAAAAATTAGCTGGGTGTGGTAGCACACGCCTGTAGTTCCAGCTACTTGGAAGGCTGAGGCAGAAGGATCGCCGGAGGTCAGCAGGTCGAGGCTGTGGTAGCCGGGAGCGTGCCACTGCACTCCAATCTGGGTGACAGAGTGAGACTCCAATCCAAAATAAATAAATAAATAAAAATAAAAAACAAATTAAAAAAAGGGAATCTAAGGCTATTTATTTGCAACTTAAACGTTTCTATACCCTATACCACTTTTACATACTAGAGTCAAGAAGCTGTAAAGTCCACTTAAGCCTAATAGTTGACTTTCTGATGAAAACAAAAACATTATACAATCTGAATTATCAACTGTCATCCCTAGGATTTGACAGAAAACATAAAGATTGGCCGGGCTCAGTGGCTCAGCCTATAATCTCAGCACTCTGGGAGGCCGAGGCGAGTGGATAGACTGAGTCCACAGGTTTGAGATCAACCTGGGCAATTTGGAGAGACCCTGTCTCTACAATAAATCAAAAAATTAGCCAGGCATGGTAGCGCGCGCCTGTAGTCCGGCTACTTGGAAGACTGAGGCAGAAGGATCACCAGAGCCCAGCAGGTCGACACTGGGGTGGCCATGAGTGTGCCACTGTATTCCAGTCTGGTCAACAAAGAGACTCTAACTCAAAAAAAAAAACATGAAAGAAAGAAAGAAAAGAAAATAGCAAATAGTAACATCTAAAAAATATATTAGGAATATTTGGAACATGAGTAAAGACAAAAGATGAGGAAGATGTATCAATAAGTAACAAAGAAATATTTCCTTGTTATTTCCAAACCTGTCTACCTGGCAGGTACTTCCATGAAATAAGGCTGAATCAAATTTTGGGACATGAACACATGGCTTTTAAGATTAACCTAGGCTGGGCGCAGTGGTTCATGCCTATAATCCTAGCACTTTAGGAGACAAGAGGTGAGAGGATTGCCTGAGCCTATGGGTCCGAGACCAGCCCAGGAAACTTGGTGAGACCTCATCTGTATAGTAAGACAAAAAATTAGCCGGGTGTGGTGGTGCATGCCTGTAGTTCCAGCTACTTGGAAGGTTGAGGGGGAAAGATCACCTGAGTCCAGCAGGTCAAGGCTGTGATGGCCATGAGAGTGCCACTGCATTCCAGCCTGGGCGACAGAATGAGACTCCAACTCAAAAAAAAAAAAAAAAACATAGCCGAGCTCGGTGGCTCAGCCTGTAATCCCGCATCTTTGGGAGGCTGAGGAGAGTGGATTGCCTGAGCCCACGGGTTCAAGACCCACCTGGGCAGGCGAGACCTCGTCTCTACAATAAATAAAAAAAATTAGCCCGGTGTGGTAGCGAGCGCCTGTAGTTCCTGCTACTGGGAAGGCTGAGGTGGAAGGATCGCCGAAGCCCAGCAGGTCGAGGCTGTGGTGGCCAGGAGCAGCCACTGCACTCCAGTCTGGGTGACAGGGTGAGACTCCAACTCAAAAAAAAAAAATTAACCTGGCTTTCAGCAGAGCAAATATCTGACTTGATAGTTGAGAAGTTTGCTTAAGGACCACACACAACCATTCATTCTGGTTTGGAGAGTAGAAGGTTTCAAATTAAGGAGCTGTTGGATTAAAAACAAAAAAAACCTGCTGGGCTCGGTGGCTCAGCCTGTAATCCCGCGCCTTTGGGAGGCTGAGGTGAGTGGATTGCATGAGCCTGTGGGTTCGAGACACGCCTGGGCAGCGAGACCTCATCTCTACAATAAAAAATCAAAAAATCAGCCGGGCATGGTAGCGTATGCCTGTAATTCTGGCTACTTGGAAGGCTGAGGCGGAAGGATCGCCGGAGCCCAGCAGGTCAAGGCTGCGGTGGCCGGGAGCGGCCACTGCACTCCACTCTGGGCGACAGAGTGAGACTCCAACCCAATAAAAAAAAAAAAAACAAACCTGTCACTTGTACTTCATCCTTTTTTATGCTTAGAACGCAGCATGAACTGTTCTGTTCTGGCTCTCTGATGCTTTTATAGGAAAGGCAAAAATCACCTCTCAAGAAACTAAAAATAGAAGTACATAAATAAAGCCGCAGTTCGTGAAGAGGATATTTGTGACTAGGTATTCTCTCCTCTGAGCTGGAATGTGAAAGGTGGAACCCTCTACGTAGCCAATTCAAAATGGCAAGGATGCAATCCCAAGCCTAAGGAAACATCAAAATCTCAAGTAAAGCATCCAATATCTGGCAATCTCCCCTAGTCACAGTGTAGAGGCAGCAGTTACTGTGGGACACCAGACATTTCTGATGGAAGCTCTAGAACAGTTTCTGACTCACCCCCCCCCCACAAACATACACATTTTCTCTCCTACACACAATCTGTTGCTTTTCTTGTGGGCTTCCTCAGCCTTCCCTTGCCTTCCTTAGTTTCTGACTACTTTGAGCTCTGTATATTACCATTCTCCAAGTTCCAAGCTCCTGATACAGCCTATGCATTCTTCCAGTTCATTTTCTATTACGTAATCCTTCCTCACAGCACTCAGTCACCCCCCCACTCATCTTTCTTTTTCTCGGGCCTAATTCCCAACATCCCGTCCCTCAGTCTCTGCTCCAATTCAAGACTCCATTCCATATTCCCCATCTGTTTTTCAGTCTTTTGACCGCAATGCCTCACATTCCACAGACTCTCTTCAAAACTTCTAATTCCTTCCCAAAGTTGGGCAATCTAGAGACAGAAGTTAGTTTGAGAAAGTGTGTGTGTGTGTGTGTGTGTGAGACAGAGAGAGACTGTGAGCGCGCGTGTCGGCGTGGGGGAGGGAACGAAGTGAGAAGGAATGACGCATTCGGGGGCGTCTTTGAGGAAAAAGATGTCTTCGACAACTCCCACCCCCAGTAAAATTCACGATCCCCCTGCAATCGGAAGCGTCCTACAACTCTCCAAGAGCTTTTCAGTCCCACGGCTTAATTTTCATCCAGTTAACCCGCAATCAGCTTGGTTCTACCTGCCTCCCACACCAATTCGTCCCTCTACTCATCAGCCCTCCACGTACTGAAGTCTCTCTACTCCCTTCCGTTTCTCTTCTGTTTCCTTCCTTCCCCCACCTTCCATCTCCATCCCTCCTCCTCGAAGTCTTCAACCCGGCCTATTCTAAGACTGCCAACGTTTTCTACAGGTTCTCTTCTCAATCAAATCCCCCCTTTCCGCGGACTCCTGCCCTCTCATCAATCGCTGCTTTTTGAAAGCCCAGCCCTCTTTCCCCCCTCACCAACAACCCCTAGGACATTCCCAGCTACCGCTGACCTCACAGCTCTCGCTCCTCCTCCCATCGCACATTCCTCACCAGACCCCTGCCCCGCTTACCTGAGGACGAGGTACCGGAAGGGACCCCGGAATCAGAGGATGAAAACCCAACCGCCGACGGCCCAGAGGAGGCCGACGCCATCTTGGCAGCCCCCTCCCCTTCAGCGGCCTGGCTCCCTTCTCAATTGGGCCCTTCCTCTTCTCGGAAGCGAGTCTTCCCCACGTCTGTTCACAGAACCCGCGTTCCGCGGGTCA